GGTGTCTTTGGCCTCTGTTTGTCAGAGGCTATAGAGAGATGACAGGAGACAAATCACTTGATCATTGTCTTCGGTCCACCCTCTCTGGGGCACCTGGTGCTGGCCACTGTCAGTAGACAGGATACTGAGCTAGAAGGACATTTGGTCTGACTCAGTACGGCCGTTCTTATATTCTTATGTGCTGATTTTGTTGAAGTCAATGGCAGAACTCCAATTAACTTTAAATGCGACTTGACATTTGGTTTTTGATAACGATAGAGGCCAATACATAGCAAACAAATAGCCAACCCAAAATTATAAAAAGTCAAGAATATTTTTTGTATAACCTGCAAGTCTTATGCTATCCAAATATTGTAGATGCATGTTTGCTGTTGTCTGTATCTTGCCAAAAGGGATATTTGGTTTTCATTTTATTCATGATATTCTCGCTTTGAAAATAGATCTTATATTATTGCCTTATTGAATCTTTATGGAAAATAATATTAGTATTCAATAATCTCCATTGAACAAAACACTTGTTAGATTAGGACAATTAAATTTGTCTGAGGACTTGGTATACACTACAGCTACGTCTAGACTAACATGATTTTCCGGAAATGCTTTTAACGGAAAAGTTTTCTGTTAAAAGCATTTTCGGAATAGAGCGTCTAGATTGGCACGGACACTTTTCCGCAAAAGCACTTTTTGCGGAAAAGCATCCGTGGCCAATCTAGATGCGCTTTTCTGCAAAAAAAGCCCCGATTGCCATTTTCGCGATCGGGGCTTTTTTGCGAAAAACAAATCTCCGCTGTCTACACTGGCCCTTTTGCGCAAAAGTTTTGCGCAAAAGGGACTTTTGCCCGAATGGGAGCAGCATAGTATTTCCGGAAAAGCACTGACGATCTTACACGAGATCGTCAGTGCTTTTGCGGAAATTCAAGCAGCCAGTGTAGACAGCTGGCAAGTTTTTCTGGAAAAGTGGCTGATTTTCCGGAAAAACTGGCCAGTCTAGACACAGCCTACAAGAATAAGCCACAACTTTTGTGGTTTGCATTAGACATGACATTATTTGAAGCTGTGACATTTTCATTGTGCCTCTATCTCTGGCATAAAAATGTTTTACATTGAAAACTTATGTTTTCATGCTTATTGAGCATCCCCTCTTATTTTCTCTAAATGAACCTTTTTGCTCATCAGGCTTTAAAACTGGTATGTCCCCTTTTTTTGATATCTCATTAGGTGCTTAGCCAGGAAGAGTACGGATAATTCAACTGTCATGGGGTGCAGTCACCCTATGGGTGCTTCCTGGATTGCTGACAAAACCACTGATACTTGCCTCTGCTCTCTGAGGCTCCTTACCACCCCAGCTTGCTGGGCCTTCCCCAGCCAAGTCACAGAGCTGAGATCACTGTCCACTCCCCAAGGGCAATACAGACACTGAACCACTTCAGGTCTGAGGAGAATGTAGTTTTGGGCATAGCTTTCAGGAAACCCATTCCCCAAATGGGATCAAAACCAAGAATAAATAATTTAGGTAAGCACCCTTTAACAATGAAAGGAGAATGCACACACTGATTGCCCCCCCCCCCAGGTAACAATTATATACACTGGGCTTGATTAAAAAATAGAATTGATTTTATTAAGTACAAACAGTAGGATTTAAGTGTTTGCAAGTGAAAACAGGCAGAGTAAAGTGAATTAAAGATTTAAAATAACAGATGACGTACAGCTAGTTCTAACAGTAAAAGTTCAGTGCAAACTTACTCCAAAACTATTCTTATTTCAGCTAAACCTCCAAGCCAGGGAAGATCTTTTTTCCTGGGGTCTCTGGTTCATTCTCTTCAGAGTGACATGCCAGCCAAAGACAAAGAAACTAACAATTTTTGCACCTTAAATAGACTTTCTTTTAGGCAGGAAATTCCTTATTTTTACATTCGACCCTTCCACGGAAATTTACTTGGCTTAACCCTAACAAAGGACAAAAAAGGATGGTTACAAGTGGTCACCCAGACATTGAGGGAAACATCCTTGATGGCTTTCATTTGCACATTTAAAACCACAAACCATTCCATACTCCATATTTCTAACTTTACATACAAGAATGATACATACACCAAAATAAAATGTACAGATCCAGCAGACTGTGACATTAAAATTGAAAGGTTACATGAGGTAGTTTGTCCAAACCATCTTTGAGTTATGTGTATTATAGCAATAAGACAATTTCATAAAACATAGGAGGAGGGGGCAAACCGTCACATCAACTTTCCTGTCAAACCCCATCTTTTAAAGTGGTATTTTAGAAAGTAAAGTTTAATGTTTGGCTTATGTATCTGAGTTCAGATGGGGAACTTAATATTCTGTCTTTATGATATTTCTCAAGTTCTACTCACAAAATATTTATTATATCTCAGCTATTATAGTAAATGTGTTCTTGCAGAAGACTGTGGAAAAATAAATACATATTTTTTCTTGTTTTCTTTGAAGGAAATCTTCTGGTTATACAGTGTAGGCTTTTTCTTAAACTAATCTGATGTTTTCTATTCCAGCAAAATTTTAATTAAAATGCAGAAACTGCAAAATCAGCCCTTTTATATAAAACAGGGTTGTTTCACACATTCCTATTTTCAACATCTAGGTCTCAGCCTTCCAAAAAACTGGAGTTCTCCAGTTGTCAGGAGTTGTAGCAGCCTTATGTCCTTTGTTTCTGTTCTTCTGTTATTACCTACTGCATGGTTAGAGCCAACAGAGTTTTCACTACTTTCTTTGTTTAAGTCAGGACCTCTGAATATATCTTCTTTGATATGATTCTATCAAAGTTGCTATTCAGGCCAGAGATTCAAAATATTTACAATTTCACTTTCTGATCCAATGTCTTATTGGGGTGCTGAAGGCCATTACATTTTACATTAATATCTTCCAAGATTCATTGGATAGAATGGTCTGTGGAGAATTGCTATTCTGTGAAAGTCTCCTGTCTGCAGATGTAACATCTTGATAAAGAATAAATAGGTAAATAAGATAAATATTGAGGCTGAAATTTTCAAAGTAAAATAGGAGATGTAGCCACACAAACCCAACTGAAATGAGCAGAACGTTTGTAGCAAACTCCCAGTTAGCTTTGAAAACTTCAGTCTGGCACCCCATATTATGTATAATTAAGGGCACAATTACAGATTATCTGCTTGGATGGTAGAAAAATCCAACTTTTTTTTTTACTTCCTTACATAATACTGGACTTCTAGTGTGACTGGCATGATTTTTCGGAAAAGCAATTTTTGCGATCGGGGGTTTTTTTGCTCAAAACAAATCTCAGCTGTCTACGCTGGCCCTTTTGCCAAATGGGACTTTTGCCCAAATGGGAGCAGCATAGTATTTCCGCAAAAAGCACTGATTTCTTACAGTAGGAAGTCAGTGCTTTTGTGGAAATTCAAGCGGCCAGTGTAGACAGCTGGCAAGTTTTTCCGGAAAAGTGGCTGATTTTCTGGAAAAACTGGCCAGTCTAGACACAGCCCATGAGTTTAGTCTGCATTTTAAAGACACTGATTTAGTCAATCACTTCCTAAAATATCTGAGTAGCTTTAATGCCTGTATCACCATAGTATCTGACTATTGACTATCTAGAGATTGCTCTAGACTTTCAACTTTTAAACATTAAAATTATAGCAAATTAAAGAGGAAAAAGAAAGGAAAAACAGAACTTAAAGATCTCTTCTATGGTTTCAGATAATGTGACTATATATTCTCGAAAGAAAAGATTATATGCACAAGTTAGAGAGTGTTTGCAAACATTACTGTTAATGTGTGCACCTTATCAACAAACATTAATTTTAAACACATACTTTAGTTTAAATAGCTTTGATTTTCTGTCTGGAAGACAAAAGAGAACATTAATAGCCATTGCTTGTTGAGTTTACAAAGTTGTACATTCATTCATTTAGAATACTATTTTGTTTGTTACACCTTAACTTAGGATATTCCAAAGAATACTAAGGATGCAACCCCTCTTAAGGGTAAGAGTGCAAGTAAACATTTGATAATTAAGTTCTTCTACACGATGCCATTCGTTATAAAACAATGGAGCTCTTGCAAAGCAATCAAACAAACAATGAACTCTAGCCTGGCAGTTTATTACCTGTATAAATATCATTATTTCCTTGTGGCCACAGAGTTAAATTCACGATATCTAAGAGAAATTATCTTTACAGTGGCAAATGACACCACAGTAAGCAAATTCAGCTTCTTAAGCAAATTCAACAAAACTTTTCCATTAGGATGAAACTTTGCACGTGATCTTTCAGCCTTAAATGCTATTTTTGAGAAGGTTAATTTTGAGAGGGACTTAAAACTGAGAGTCATATTCTGTCTGTATATAATCTGTCCATTAGGGCAAAATGGATTACAGCAAACCTTACAAAAAGATGTATGGTTGAGTGGTTGTATTTCCCTTGTTTGCAGATTAGAGCCTTTTGATTAGAGCCTTTTGAAAGATGACACCTCACTGCAAATCTTGGAAAAACTGTTCTATAAATGTCATGTCATGACTTTCAACTTCAATTTTAAGAGGAGTTCAAGTCTAACTGCACATTCAGGATGGCATCATTGTATATTACCATTTATTATTATTTATTATTCTTCACAGTTGCTTATCACTGGTAAATTGTAACTATTCACCCTGAAATTTTCTGAGACATATCTACCTGAAGCTGATTTTTTTTTTTAATTTCAGCAAAAATGGTTCAGCCATAACAAGATTAGGGAAAAATACATTATTCTGACTTGGGTTAAAAAACCCCTTACCACTCTTTTTACAAAGAATCAGCTGCAATTCTTTTGCTTTTCCCCCATGTGTGGGTGGGGAGGGGAAGGAAGGAAATTTACATGCCAATTTACATGCCTTTGAAAAATCTCAGTTCACACCCACTAAGTGTAGACTTCTTAGAGCATGGCAGCTACATTTTTTATATTTCTGCCTGCCCAGAGCCTGTTCCAGGTCAGGGCTGCAGGATCCAATGCCCCTACCTGCTGAGGGTCACTGTGGTACCAGGCACATGAACTGAGATCAGGAAGACTCTTTCCTGTATCCATAATGGCCACCCTGCTAGCTCTAAGGCACTGCAGAGGAAATAACCTGATTTATATGCAAAGGGGAGAACAGCTGCACCTGGGGTAGGTAAGGGTAGAGTCAAGGAGAGAGTATATTGGGACGTCGTGCCTGATAGGGTTAGGAACTGACTTGGACTTGTGGGAAGCAGCTGGAACTAGCTAGAGAAAGAGCTTGTACAGGGGCCAGGGCTGCTGATGGCAGCGTTGGTTCTCCCACCTCTCTAACAGAGAGGTGGCTGCAGTCCCAGATCCAGAGCCTCACATGGCATGGTCCAGGCCGCACTGAGGGATGGCTGGGGGAGACTAGCCTCACCCCTTCTGCCTGAGGCTCTGCCCTTCTGGGGGCCCCAGAGCCAAGACCCTCATATTGCCCAGGGCCTGGTAAAGCCTGTCACTAGCCCTGACTGGGACCTAGGAAAGACTAGTATTCCACTGCTCCCAGTCTCCTTGCCCTGCCAGTTCTAGACAGTGGTGGACAGGCTGATAATAGGGGAGGGAGAGATGAAACTGGATGAGGACCTGGAGAGGTGGATACTGGGACTTGGAGATAAAGACAGCAGAAAAGACTAGGACTGGCTGGGCAAGGAGACTGGGACTGGGATGAGAAATCTGAGGAATGGACACTGGGATTCACATGAGAAGTGGGTGGAGAGGACTGGAACAAGGATAAGGTGGAATAGAAGGGACAGAAAGGGTTAGGCTTCAGAAGGATCTTTCCCAAACTGCACACAACCCCTTTCAGAATAAGGATTGAATCCCCATATTTCTGAATCTCATCATTCCTCCACTGGAAGATTTGGTGCTGGGCAGTGGAATAGCATAGGTCTTCTACTGTTATCAGTTACACAGATCAAATAGCATAGGTCTATATGGTGAATCTAAAGGTTCCAATGTTGCTGACAATCCATGTGAATGGCAAGACAATGCTATTTGATGGCATTTCTGTCATTTTAAGTTTGCTTTTTTAGAACGTAGGACATTATGTTAAAAAAAAGAGCATTAATGTTGTAAAGTCAAGCATTCAGGGTGGGAAATGCCAGAAGTATGGTTGCCTGTGCAAACTGAATTTGCCTCCCGCTCCCATGCACAAGTTGTATGATTAGAGGTAAGTGGGAACTGAAAATTGTGACCTGTCAAAACCAAATTTCATTCCAAATCAGAAAGAAAAGTCAGCTGTGCTGTCCAGGGTGTTGTCTACCTGTAAATATTGGCCATCTGGACAGTTAGCATTCTGGAAACACAGCCGTGCAACGAGATACCAATCCATTCACCTGCCTGCTTGTCTGTGATAGGCAACCAGGGAAGCCAACTATTTGGGGAGCCAACTATGCAAGGAGAGTGGGAGCATGGGGAACCTAATGAGTGGGCAGCTAGGAACTGGACACACTGGCAGGAAACAAGGCCAGCCGGCTGGCCAGCCTGCCTGCCTGCCTGATTTCCGCCAGAAGTTCTGATGGAATCAACATGTTCTGGTGGAATGTTTTGATTATGTTGAATCAGCATTTTCTCCACAGAAAACTGTTTTGAAATTTTTTCAGCCAGCTCTAATTATGATACAGTCTTTAATTACATGGTCACATGGTATTTTTTTCCACAGGATTCTCATCTCTTTCAATGTACTTCAATCTTCTCTGAGGATGAACTAGAGTTGTGTAGTAAAGTGGATTGTTGTCTGAAGGACTCTTGGCTCTCTTGTTGCCAGGGGAAGATGACCGTTTTGCGGGGCCCCGGGCAGCATAATTCCACGGGGCCTCCCTTTGCCACGGCGCATGCGCAGTGATGCCATGCGCATGCGCAGCCGCACCATGGCACATGCGCGGGGCTTTCTGAAGCGCGGGGCCCGGGGCGGCCGCCCCGTTCGCCCTGCCGTATATCCGCCCCTGCTTGTTGCAGAATTTGGAAGGTGTGTTGTCAATGAGGGAGGGGCCTGCAGGAAGAGAGAAGACAGTCTCATGATTAATGAGTGGCTGAATACTAGCTTGGAGAATTTGAGTCTTGATTTCTGCCTCTGACACAGAGTGCTTGTGTGATACGGGGCTAATCACTTAAACCAGACTTTTTACAGGGAGCCACTAACGGCCCAGAGCAAAATTTGCGGCCTGGGTCTTGATTTTTCTAGGTCTTAGCACTCAGAAGTGAAACTGAAGTCAACCAGAGCTGTGTTTTGCATATAAAATACTTTATAACTGTAAGTGCTCTTAAATTGTATACTTTCTGTCCCTTAATTTCTCTGTGCTCTGGTTTTCCATATGGTGGATGACACCAATCCTCCTAGATGTGTAATGAAGATAAATTAGATAATGCTCATGAAGCACTCACATATTATGACAATGAGCACCATACGACAGTCCACTCGGAAGTCTTCAGAGCAGCACTGGAACATGTACACAATAAATAAGGCATGGGGCCACCTAGTGGACAATGGGGATAAAACAAAATATGAAATTGGTCACTGAATGAGCACCTCTGTCCATCTAGTACATTGAATGAGGAATGAGCCCTGTGGGAAAAAACAGTATGTGATTATGTAATTAAAGAGAGAATCATAATTAGAACTATCAATATTTGGATGGAACAATAGCACTAGAACTACACACATAGAGGCTGGGAAATGGGTAGAATTAGCAGAGGTACTAGAATCCTGTTCTAGCTCCCTAAAAACTTCCAGACTGGCCTACTGGCATGACTTGACTGCTGGTCCTATTCATCATAGTATCTGAATATCTCACAGTTATTTATGGACTTTATTCCCATGATGCCCTGTTAGAAAGGGACGTGCCATTCCTATTTACAGAGGTAAAGCATAGATGGAGTGGTCTGCCAAATATCAGACAGAAACTCTGTGGCTAAACTAGGAATTATAGCCTATACAGGTATCATCTCTAATATTCTGTGCTTTTGCTCTGCCAATTCCAGCCATAGCTGCTGAATGCATGGATGCCCAGGGGCTCAAGCACCCAGGAAGAAAAAATAGGGGGTGCTTAGCATGACTGGGGCTGCTCTGGTGTCCCTAGGGCTAGCTGCCAATCAGCTGTTTAGCTGCTGGCCCTAGGTTCTCCGCAACTTTTCAGAACCTGCCCTGATGATCAGCTGTTGAGCAGGGCTGCTGCCCCCTACCCTGATCCTCTCTGTTTCCTTCTCCCTTGACTGGTCTTAAGGCAGAAAAGAGCATAATGGAGCTAGTGGTGGGGAAAGAGGGTGGAGTGGAATGTGTAAATAGATGGATTGGTGCAGGGTCCCAAGGGGGTGGTGGTTGCAGAGCCAGTTTGGAGTACCAGCAAAACAAATAGTCAGTGCCTATGGAACTAAACTGTAAGAATCATAAAGCTGCATTTCCCCTATATTGTGTTCCCTCTCCCAGGAGTGGCCCGTGACTATTGGCAGACTCGGCTGCTGCCTAGGGCGCCGCCCGATGATGACGTCTCAGGGCACCCGGGGTGCCAGATGATGATGTCAGTCCATTGACGGCCCTGCAGGCGGGGGCACCGATCGCGCGTTCCGCCTGAGGCGCCAGCTGCCGCAGCCTGCCTCAGGCCGCTCCTGCTCTTTCCACATCTGTGTGCATTTGTCTTAAGTAGAGAATCCAACCTAAGCAACAAATCCTAAGATCTACCATTTAAAACAGGCTCTCTCTCTCTCCCTGCAATAACTGCTAATGCAGTTTTAAAACATTTTCATGGACGTTATTTTTCTTCCTTAAAAGATTGTGTACAAAGAGAAAGAACTTAACAACGTTAGTTAAAAATCAAGTCACTCTTAAGTTTTAATAAATATTTAAAAAATTATTTTATTTGGTGGTTTACAAGACACAAAATTGAGATCCTGGCAACAGAACTCCAAAATTAAACTGTTGGCACTGGCAAGAATAACAAAAATGGTTACTTACAATTTATAAACTTCTGAAAAATTCTCTCTCTTTTTTACAGCAAAAGAATCTGAACAAAATGTTATTTGTCTTAAATTAGTCACAGTAATGTATCAGGGACAAGTATATTCAGTTCTTTAAGATTTGAGGCTACCTAAAATATTAAAGGGGTATTTCAGAGAAAAGTATTCTAGCAATTCTCCTACCAAGTCTAGATTTGATGCATAAATACAATACATATATCCTTTGACACTTTACATTTTTGAGTTTTTTTAGAAATGTTTGCTAAATTAACCATCAGTTGAATTAAAGATCAACCCAACCAGATCTTTATAAGTAAGTTTCTTCCAGTGTCTAATATGATAATACAACACATCTTCCCTGAAAGTAGGATTAGATTGAGTTTATAAACATCTAATTGCACTTCTCATGGTAGTTTGGTGCAAAGGTGATGGCATTAAGATATGGGAGCAATTTTGTTATGGTAAGATTCACACAATTAAGACCTTGCCATTTACGTTTTCTAAGATAAGTTTGATGATTAGCCTGTAAATCAGCACTGATTTATGTGTAGATCCTATTACTTCCAATCTCAGAGAAATCTTCCATCTCCTTTCATAGCTATTTTAAATGTATAGCAGACATATTTTGTGTACCTTGTTTTCCCACCTGTAAAATACAGACCTTTCTGAATTCCAGAGTTCCTGCTATATGTTTTATGAAAATGTCACAGATCTAATACAGCAAGACTCGCATGCTTTTTTATTATTAGTTGACCCACAAGGTGGCACTAAAGAGAAAAGTGACAATTTTCTTAATAAAATGTGAAAACCAAAGCCATCATGCCATATGTTGAATCAATATTATTAGTTAGAAACATGCTTGCTTCATTGTCAATTACATTTTATTTTTGAAAGACCTTAAAGATAAATAATTCTAAATGATTCATTTCTCCTAGCTTCCCAACTCAAAAGTTAAACTTTAAAGAAAATGAGATGTTGGTAATTTACTAATCATAATCTTAAATATAATGTTACCAAGCTGTAGTTAGTGAGAGAGTTTTCTGCTCTAAGGTATAAAAATGTAAATGAGTAAAAGCACAAGGCTTACACGTTCTTTACAAATAATTAATTATTTTAGATATTAAATTTGTATTGGTAAGATATCAGACCAAAATTATTCATCACTTGATATCTAAATTATTATTTCTGGAAGAATATTTTAAGTTGATGATTTATTTTACTTCTAGTATGTATGATCTTCATCATTTTCCTCTTTTAAAATATTGATATAATCCATTTAGAAATTGACAGCTATGTAATAAAATACGTTGTAGATTTAGGGAATTCAGTTCTGGCCCTTTAGAGGCTAATGGGTATTTTGCAATTGGAATCAAATAGAACACTGGCATTAACTTCAGTGAGGACAGGAATTCACTCAGGGTCTCTGAAAATAACACTCTTATTGAACTCAGAGCTAGTAATAAGAAGGCAAATTAACTGTTTCACAACAGGAAATATGGCATTTGCTTCCAGTAAGGACAGTTCCTGAGATATTGGACCTTACATTTTTATTATGAAAAAAAAACTATTTTAGGTAACTCTAGAGGCTTCTAGAGTTGCCTAATTATTTTTTTTCACTCCCTCTGAGACTTGCATTGATGGAGACACAGTACTACAGGGGACAGCAGTCTTTACAAGCAGAGGAACACTAAAATGATATCAATACATTTTTCAAAAAGACCTTTAAATTGATTCTGAAAGAGTGGTTCTAGAAGATTAGTTTAGCTAATTTATTTATATATAAAATGTGGGACCTACCATAATGTATTAGCTTCACATTTTAGTATTTGATGTTTAATCAAGCATTGTGAGAAGACTTAGGACCCTCTGTTTGTGAAATCCTCAGTGCAGTCAATAGAATTCCATGTATAGAAAGCTGTCAAAATAGAGCCCTGGATTTGTTAGTAATAGTTGGTCACATAGTTATACATTTTATTATTATTGCTTAATGCTGATGATGTGTTAATGACATTTTTATCATTGTAAATATAAAACAATGGGTTTTAACCAATTCCTAGTATTCTCTGCTTCAATTACAAATCCTGCACTGGTATCAACTGCCATGTTTGTGGCATCCATTTTACCTGCTCAGGAAAAAGTGGGAAAGGCTCTGCGCTTAAATCCATTCATCATGCAGGTTCAGCCAATTCGTCAACTCATTTATCCCAATCCACTTACCAGAGTCTTATGGAGATGTTAAGTGGTGGGGGGGACAGGCAAAGGATGATACTGGCTGTCCTTTATCACAACTATGCGGACAGGCAGCCTTCTAGTACTAGTTGTTCTCTTCAGCTCAGGGCAGATATGAAGCTTCTTGAGCTGACAGAGTGGGCCTTTTGAGGCATGGTGCTACTCTCCCCAGTCAGGGAAGAAAGGGACTGAAACATGACCTATCCTTTCTGTTCCTGTCAGGCTATTGCGCTTGATTGGGCATCTAGGTAAGCGGTTGAAATAAAGCAAAGATTCACAGACTGGCATGTGCATCATGGAATATCAGAATTCTTACTGAGCATGACCAAAGTTCAGAATGAAGAACAGCCTTATTGGAAAAACACCGATGAGGCAAGAGCACAGATACTGCTGCTGTCAGTAGATGCAGACTCGCTGATAAGTCTTATCTTAAGGGCAGTGGGAGAAGACTTCTTCTGCTACTGGACTGGCAAAGCCAAGGCTGAGCCTGGACAGTTGGGAGTAAGGTTCATCATACAGTCTGACACAGCCTTCAAGCTTGACTTGCTCACTAAGGGATTCAATGATCAAGTTACGATGTTCAGCATTAACTTGTCGAGAGTCCAGTACAAAACCATTATCAGTGACTATGGGCTGACTATGACTCATACTGATGAGGTCAAGGAAGGGGTTATCAGGGTACCACAACAGGATAAACTCATTGCCCCTGGAGACTTTGATGCTTGTGTGGGAGCTATTTCTTAAATGCTGAACAGGTTGCTAGGCCATCATGGCAGTGGAAGTCAAATTGCAATGGCCAACTCCTTTTCCCCAAGTTTGCTAAGTTCAGTATTGCTATTATCCACACAGTCATCCAAAAGACCAACATGGATGCAATGCAGGTCAAAACAGTGGCACATGATAGACTATGTAACTGTATAATCTAAAGACCTTGAAAATGTGCTCATCAGCCATTCTTCAACAGGCATCAGATGCTGGGGTCAGACCATCAGTTTGTGAGAAGCATTAGGTTGCTATACTTCTCACAAAAGTGCTCCAGCAGATGCATCAACCACCAAAGACTATCAGTGTGGCTGCCATGAAAGACCTTGCTTTGAATTACTCACTTCATAAGAAAGCACACATACATACAATCCCTTAGTAAGGGTCTGATTATGCAGGTTTCAATTCAGCCAAAAGACAATAGGCTCAGGACCACCCCTATTCAGCACATATCTAAATTTAAGCATGGACAGTACTTACATATTGTCCTGAACAGGGACAAACTTAAGCATGTGCTTAAGTGCTTTGCTGCATTGAAGCCACAAGTCTTACATGGGGACTGCTTGAAGTGAATGGATGTGGCTTAGTAAGAGCTGCAAGAGAACTGGGTTCTTAACTATTGTTTATTGCAGTGGTGGGGAACCTAAAGACCTGGGGGCCAGGTGAGGTCCCCGAGGCTTGGGGCTTCCCCCCACCATTGTGAAGCTCACACTGGTGTTCCTGCCTCCCCACTGCCCCTTTCTCACTTTTGTGAGGCCACTTGCTTCTCACTTGTGTGCGGCCCCAACTGATTTTTCTGTGGGTCAGCGGCCCCCAACCCTCAAAGGCTCCCCACCCCTGGTTTATTGATTATTTTAAAGATTATCTGTCTCTAAGTCCATTCTAAAGCTATATTGAGGTGTCTCCCTTTATTCTAACTTTCCAGTAACCATTCCTTTAAAAATAAAAGAGGACTAAAGCTATTTTATATGAATAAGACATTTTGGTAAATTACAAATCCCCAACTCTGGTACATCAGTGTTACTCTAGTGAAACAAGTTTAGAGTAAGTATGGGAAGCTGAAGTCCAATTTGTATAAAAAGGCATTATTACAATAATTGTAGGAGTCTATAAATTTTTACTACCAGATGTGGTGGAACTGATGAAATATATATACATATTTCATTTAATCAGCCTGCGAAAACAGATGTAACAGACACAGAAGAGATGATGGGATGGGCCATGAAAATGATTAAAGACAAGAAGAGGCTTCCATATAGGAAGAGATTTAAAAGATTGGGATGAATAAGAAAAGTTGATGACGGAAGCATACAAAACTGTGAATGGTACAGAGAAGGTAAATCAGTAGCTTTTATTTTCCCTCTTTAATAGCAGTCAAAATCACTTATAAATAGAAATATATATTTTTTTAAATAACTCATAATTAAACTATGAACAACACACTGTTTTAAGATATCAGGGAGACTAAGAGCTTAGCATATATGAAAAAGGATTAGAAATGTATATAGAAAATGAATTTATCACCCGTAACAAAAATAGGATTTAAAAAAATATATTTCTAAGGGATATAAATCATTAGTGGTTCCTTGCACCATCCTGTGAAATATTTCATACTGGGCTCAGTCTGAGACAGAATGCTGCACTAGCTAGACCACCAGTGTAATCTGCTCTGGCAATTATTGTGTTCCTAAAACAGAATAAAATATCCACCAATTTTCACTCGGTCCTCCGAGACTAACTTGCTTATTTCTAATTGATTACAATTAACTAGGCTTAAGAGTAATTATTCACTGAGAAAAAAACAAACAGCATTATATCTTTGCACATTATAACTAATGTTGTTATTGAACTTGTGTAAATAAAAAGTAAAAACAAATGGCTCTCAGTTAAAAAAACAGATACTTTGTTTAAAAATAAGCTTTGTGGTAAGCTGCCAAATATGCTTTAAATAAAACTCACCATGAGAGAATAAACATATTTGTTTAATCTTCTTAGTTCATTAAATGGGAAAAATAAATAAAAATGAATGACAGACCGAATAATCAATTTTGGAAGGCAGAATAAACATGTATAGATTTGGAACACAACAAATGGGGGAAATAATTTATTTTCACAATCTGATTTGAATAACAACATGCTTAGAGAGCCAAGTGTCCATGACCACACTGCTTGGCTTTATTTCAAGCATCTAAGAGCTCTGCAGGGTTATTACTGATCTGGTGCAGCTAGGTTAATGGCAATGTAACCATCACCAGTTCATGACCAGTCACAAACTGGATAACTGAAGTACTGTTTGATTCACATTTAAAGAAGATGTGTGTTTCATCCAAAAACTTCAGACCTGGAGATTTGGTTTCTAACAAGAGCAAAATGCAAGGCATTTTTGCTTAACAGAACTGAAATAAGCAAAGGAACTTAGGGCACCTGTACAATGTGATACTTCTGATGCCTCAATTTCAATGTCCTACCTGATCATAAGACATCAGCAGAAGGTCAGTGACCAGATCTGTGTGCCCATGCAATAACAAAGTCAATATGTGGCTTCTCAGACACCCCTCAGTGTGATGATTACTCAGACAAAATTTTAAGTAGAGTTCCTTACAACTTCAGAAGAAACTGAAAGAGAAGAAACAAGAAAAAAAGAATAAGGGCCTAATTTCACTCACGTTACTCGAGTAGGCTGTCTCCCTGACATAAATGGAATTAATTCTATAAGTTACATGAGAAGAATCTGGTCATTATCATGATTTTGGATGTGAAGGGTTAACATTTAAAGTGGACACAGAAAGATATTTTCTATTAGAATCTAGCATTGTGGCTGCTTGGATTTTTTTTAATGGGAATGCATTCCCCCAATATTTTTCTTATCAATAATTCCTGAAAATAAAGCAAAAGGTATATTTATCAGCATCACATATTAGATCTGGAGTGTCACCAAACATGTCTTGTGAAAAAAACATGAATCTTTAGAGGTTCCTTGCACAAGTATCTCTGCCCCTATCTGTTTCCTTTGCAAAAACTCAGGCAGCTCAAACAGAAAGAAACCTCTCTTGTTGGGGATAGCCTTCCTATGGGGGAGCTGCAGCAGCTGTAAAGTGGGTAAAAAAGATTCTTAATGTTTTCCTT